CTCAAAGCTCTTTGATGTTCATGGCCAATAACGAGAATCTGCAGAACAAGCTCTCAGATCTCGTGGAGCGGCCTAATTCCTCCAATTTCAGTTGGAACTACGCCATTTTCTGGCAGCTTTCCAAATCCAAATCCGGAGACCTGGTTTTAGGGTGGGGCGACGGTTGTTGCCGAGAGCCTCTGGAAGAAGAAGACTCGGAAGTTGCTCGAATACTCAATATGAGGCTCGAAGATGAATCCCAACAAAGAATGAGGAAAAGGGTTCTCCAGAAATTGCATATGTCTTCGGGTGGGACCGACGAGGATAGCTATGCCTTTGGATTGGATAAGGTTACAGATGCTGAGATGTTCTTCTTAGCATCAATGTACTTTTCTTTCTCAAGGGGAGAAGGTGGGCCCGGTAGATGCCTCGGATCCGGTAAGCATGTCTGGTTTTCCGATACATTGAAGTCTTCAACCGATTATTGCTTTCGTTCTTTTCTTGCCAAGTTGGCTGGTGTGAGAACTGTTGCCTTGATTCCAACTGATATCGGTGTGGTTGAATTGGGTTCGGTGAAATGTATTCCCGAAAGTCTGGAGCTCGGGAATTTGATTAGATCTTCATTCTCGTCATTGTCTGGACTTGTTAGAGCAAAGAAAGCTGCTGCTGTAGCAGTGACAACCGACAAGAAAGACACACAAGTAGTTCCCAAGATCTTCGGACAGGATATGTATTCTAATCATACGCAATTTAGACAGAAGAGTGTTGTTGGGAAAGTCGAAGATAGCAATAGACTTCCTTTCACAAACACTCAAAACGGTTTTCTCGGATGGACGCAGTACGGCAACGTAAAACCCGTAAACCCCCCATCGAATAATCTACACGAGCTTGTCAACATGGCGAAAAAAGAGTATCAATTCAGCAATTTTCAGACTCAAAAGAAGCCAGCACAAATGCAGATTGATTTCGGTGGGGCTACTTCAAGAACTGTTATTTCCAGGCCACGTAGTGCAGAATCGGAGCATTCAGATGTTGACGAGGGTGTTGGAATATCGGGAGACAATAGGTCTAGGAAGCGTGGGCGAAAGCCAGCCAATGGAAGAGAAGAAGCTCTAAATCATGTCGAGGCAGAGAGGCAGAGGAGAGAGAAACTGAACCAGAGATTCTACGCACTTCGTGCTGTTGTGCCGAATATTTCGAAGATGGACAAAGCTTCCCTTTTAGGGGACGCGATTGCTTACATAACCGAACTTCAGAAGAAGCTCAAGGACATGGAATCCGAGGACGAAAGGGTAATAACAGCGCCAAATACGAAGATACAAGATTGTGCTCCGAGGATCGATATTGAAACTGGCTGTGACGAAGTGACGGTGAAGGTCATCTGCCCATTGGACAGTCACCCTGTATCGAGAGTCGTAGAAGCAATCAAGAATGTCAATGCAACTATCGTTGATGCAAATTTTGCTGCAGGGAGTGAGGAAGTGTTCCACACGTTTGTTGTAAAATCTTCGCAAGGATCGGAACAGCTGACTAAGGATAAGCTGATTGAAGCTTTTTCCGGTGAGTCCAAATCTTTATAGCAGTTTGTGTTATGTTGGGTAATAGAAGTGTATGTTTTTATTATTTGACAAAGTCACAAGGCATAAATTATGTGTAGTGAACTAATTAAATGGGGTTTGCAAGATTTTGATATACAGCAGTAAATGCTATATTATTTTTTAACCTAGTAGATTAGTGATCAGCTATTCGTTTATAGTAATACCCAGAATTTAATTTTTTTGCAAGAATGAGTTAATTGTGTATCTTTTTTTATATAATGAAAATAAATAGATGATTGTGTTGTGAGATTGAATGTTTTTGGTTGTGGAACCAGGGTTAGAATGTCGGCCGTATGTGTGGTAAAATTAGTTCACATAATATATAGTTAGTTTGGTAGATTAACAGTGTTTTAAAGATGATTAAAAATGATTTATAGAGGAAGGTGATTTGTTTAATGGAAATGAGGAGTACATGTGAACGTGTATGTAAAAACGTGTTGATTGTTATGACGACTTATTGACTCGTTTGGTTGGCATTGCTTCTATACAAATATCTAACATTTATTTATATTTTTTATTAATTAGTATCTGTATGAGAAAGAACATGTAGTGGCAAATAGAGACAGGACACAAATATGTATATGCATACCAGATTCAATGAAGACTAATTAAAAATTGTGGAACCATTTTTTTAATGGATGACACCTACCATTGTGCATGAATGATGGTGATGATTGGTTGACAAGATGAGACGTGGACAAAATAGATTTCTTATTGAATTTATGCCTAAATATATTACTTTTGGAGCTAAATTTAAATTATATTATTCATCGGCGCACATGTAAATGTCGCATAAGATGAGAATCATTTTTTGTTGGATCACATTAAATCAAATTATAGGTACATTTTGGGGAAAAATAAATTCTATAATTGAAAAAAAAATCTAATTTGTTACCCGGGTCACACCGTCGAATATGCAATATTAATCTTAAAATGTATACATGTTTCAGAAAAAATCAGTTTCAATTTACATCCGGCAGGCAAATCCATTTTGGTACAAGGTTTGTCTATAATTGGGCTGCTATTATTAGTAGGTACACAATCAGCTGGCCTAGTATACTTAAAGATGGCGGGCTAGGCCAGTCCAAAACGGGCCGGGCCGGGCCGGAAGGATTATCTCAAACCAAGTCCATAATAGTTAGTTGGTCATCAATTACTTATTTCATAAATGGTTCCAATATTAATTATTTCACAAAACTTTACTTTGTGATGGACAAACAGACAAACATCCTTCACCAAACTATTCAATTCTTCACGGGCTGGTTTTCAAATTTCATCTTCCCCGTTTTTACTTTATACGTTATTGTAATAATGTTGATGTTTATCCCCGGGTAAGTTAACATATTGGATAATAATAGTATATATAATAAAACAAAAAATGACCACTTGACTTGCTGCAGTTGCATCAGTTTCAATTTTACCCAATTAATTCCCCACGCCATTATTTATACTTCCAAAGCCGCCCTAATTCACTCTCTCTTCTCATTCCCCCATTCTCTCTCAAGATATGGACGGAAAACTGTTATCCGTCGTCATTCTCCTCACGGTTTCCGTCACCCTCTCCGTTCCTCTCCACTACCAAACCCTCGTCCTCACTTCCCTCCCCAACCCCCAATCCCAATCTCTTTCCTGGCCCACTCAGCAACAATCCGATTCCCAAATCCGACCCGAATCCGACACCACTCTCTCACTGGACTTGCACCATCTCGACAATCTCCCCCCTTCAGCAGCTTTCAGTTCAACCCCTCAATCCCTCTTCAAACTCCGTCTCCGCCGTGACGCCGTTAGGGTCAGAGCTCTCTCTACCCTCGCTAACGTCTCCGGCGGCAGGCCAGGTGATTTCAGCAGCTCAATTGTTTCGGGGCTCGCGCAGGGGAGTGGCGAGTACTTCACGCGCATCGGGATAGGCACTCCGCCCAAGTATGTCTACATGGTGCTCGACACCGGAAGCGACGTCGTTTGGGTTCAGTGCTCCCCTTGCAGGAAATGCTACTCTCAGTCCGACCCTGTTTTCGACCCCAAATCCTCCACCTCCTTTTTAGGACTCACCTGCGACTCCCCGGTTTGCCGCCGGCTCGATTCCCCAGGCTGCAACAACCGGGACAAGTGCCTTTACCAGGTTTCTTACGGCGATGGTTCCTTCACCGTCGGCGAATTTTCAACTGAAACGCTGACGTTTCGTAAGACGAAAGTCGATAACGTCGCCTTCGGCTGCGGACATGACAACGAGGGTTTGTTTGTCGGCGCCGCCGGTTTGTTGGGCCTGGGCCGTGGGAAGTTGTCTTTTCCTACTCAAGCCGGCAGCCGATTCGGGAGGAAGTTCTCCTACTGCTTGGTCGACCGGTCGGCTTCCTCCAAGCCGTCTTCCATGGTGTTCGGCGAATCCGCCGTTTCCAGAAACGCCGTCTTCACGCCGTTACTGACCAACCCGAAGCTGGATACATTTTTCTACGTAGGTCTAAACGGCGTTTCGGTCGGCGGAACGCGTGTCCCGGGAGTAGCGGCGTCGCTTTTCAAGCTGGACCCGACTGGCAACGGAGGGGTGATAGTGGATTCGGGGACGTCGGTGACAAGACTGACCCGACCCGCTTACGTGGCGCTGAGGGATGCTTTCCGGATAGGGGCATCGAACTTGAAGAGGAGCTCAGATTTCTCTCTGTTCGACACGTGCTTTGATCTGTCAGGGAAGACGGAGGTGAAGGTGCCGACGGTGGTTCTGCATTTCGAGGGAGCTGACGTGTCATTGCCGGCGTCGAATTACTTGATTCCGGTGGACAGTGAGGGGAAGTTCTGCTTCGCATTTGCAGGGACAATGAGCGGGTTGTCCATTATTGGTAATATTCAGCAGCAGGGTTTCCGGGTCGTGTTCGACTTGGCGGGTAATAGGGTCGGGTTCGCTCCAAGGGGTTGTGCTTAAAGTAAAATTAAATATCCCTATTTTCTATTTTATCTATCTCTAATTAATGTTTTTAACTTATATCCTCTTTATTGAAGAAGAGGAGAGAGATTAGGGAGAAATTAGGGCAAAAGGTAGAATAAATAATGTGTTGTAATACGAATTAATGAAAAGTTGGAAGCAAGTGACAAAATTTGAAGAATTAAAAATAGGGGCAATTTGCTATAGGTCCCTTTATATTATAATTTATGTGTGTAAATCCAAGTCAAAATTTAATGTTTTAATAAATTAATAATATTTATTATGGCAAAAATACCCTTAATTAAATCAAATCAAATCCCCAAAAGTCTCTCTATCATAACAAATTCCCAAACATCTCTCTTCTAAATATTAACTAAAACAAATAAATTAATTCATAACAAAAATATACAATTTATTTTACAAACTCATACTCTAAAAACGTCACCGCAGCCCCACCACCGCCTATGATCAGGGAATTGCGACGTCTATGACTCCGCGAACTGCAAATAGCAAACTGAAAATTAGATTTTATATTATTGAATTGCAAACAACAAAATACCCATGATTTCGCCAAATGCAAACAACAAACTGAAAAACAAAATTCATAATATGTATTAATAAATTACAAACAAAAAATTACCTATGACTTCGGGAAATGCAAACAGTAAACTGAATAAAAACATTCAGCAAAACTTGCATTATTGAACTGCGAGCAATAAACTACCTATGACTTGGCCAAATGCAAACAGCAAATTGAAAAAAAAAAAAAAAAAAATCAGCATCATTAAAAACATCAACCAAAAAATTGTTTATAGAACAATTTGCAAACAACAAAAATATTAAACAAAATGTTTGTAAAATGTAACTTAAGACATACCTTGCGAATTGTAAACCAGAGGAATCGAATCTCAACACCAAACGCAATTCTTCAAACAACAAACGAAATTAAACCAACCGCAAACGGAAATTGCTAACAACAAACGATGAGAGGTTCTACATACGGAAAATACAATGCGAATTTGGCTAGAATTTTGGATTTCTGATTTTTTTTTGGAGGGGATGTTTGTCCTCCTCTTTAATTCTTTCATAAAGAAATCCTCTCATAATCTAAAAAGATCCTTGTTTTTTTTCATCTCTATAATATTTCTTCATTAAAAAAAAAACAAAGAAAACGAAAAAGAGAAAAAAAAAAAGAGAGAAGCACGAGAGAGAGAGCCGTGAGAATTGAGATGCGGAAAGAGAGAGATGAGGAATTATATAGGAAAAAAGTAACGTGAGATTGGCGAGAGGGGATATCTACGATTGGTTTTCTTATTACTTGAGGGTGTTATGGTCTATATACTGATTATTTTAATTGAGTTATAGTAATTTAATAGGTCAAAAGACCTAGGCCTATAGTCATCTAACAACTAGGATCTCTAGCTATATAAGTCCAAAATAAGGGGTGTCTAGCAAATTCCCCCTTAAAAATAAAGGTAAAGTTGGTAATAGTGTTTAATTTGTCAAGTGCAACAACATTCCCTAAATTCCCGTGTTTGATTTCATCATTTTTAATCAGGGTTGTTGGATCCTTCCACCCTTTATACATTTTTATCTTCATATATATATTTAAAACATTTAAATTGTTGAAGAGAGAGAGAGAGAGAAAGGAGTATTCATTATATTATTTGAGTGATTCATTAAGTGATGTTGTCCCTGCACCGTACAGTAAGACCATGTGCCTCTGCCCACCGCACCGTAATCTACGGACCCTATTTTGTCACTTTTATTATTATTATGTTGTGAATATCCATCCCATCTCACCAATCCTATTTTGCCACGTCTCATCTCCATTTTATTTCTAAATCTGCTAATGTGTATAATGTAAATCCATTTTCATGATGTAAATATACAATTCTCGATTTAGCATTTTAATAATTACAAGGAAAAAAGAAAAAGGTGGGTCTTAGAATGAATATATGCTAAAAAGAGCAGCTGCATTTATTACGAATCTAAAAGACATTCCTCTCACCTAAAATCCCTCATTTCTTTTTAGCAGGGTGTGTAACATGTCAATCTAAATTGGATCTCCCCCAAATATTTATTTAATTTAAAATGAATTTGGATTGAGCCCAATAGAAGTAGGTGGACAAGTCACAAACATGTGAAATGAAATTCACACAAATTGGGCATCCAGCCCAAACTTTGCATCCAAAACAAGGCCCACATATTCAAATTTATTTCAAACACTTCTCTGTCTGTCTGTGTACATACACCCCCTACATACATACATGATACATTTATTATTATATTATTAATAATTAAAATTATTAGTATTATGTCCCATTGTACATACATATCATTAAAATTCCATATCAAGGACAAACTGTTCAGTCGTGGCAACCTTCTCTACCACTTATTCTATTTAAATATCCTTTCACAATTACAATTATCAACTAACATGCATCATATTAATTTGTACTACATTAATGTATATTAATTCAAATAAATGAAAATATGTACTTCTATTTAAAATACATTTGAATGGCCATAAGAAAATGAAATAGAAAGAGGGTCATTGATTTAAAATCTGAAAAACGAAAAAGAAAGAAAGAAGAGAGAGGGGCAAACAAAAAGAAAAAGGGAAAGTGAAAAAAGTCGATCAAATTTCCTAATCCAAACTACCCTTTACAGATTCTCTCCCATAGACAGGCATCAAGAAAAGCACCTTCTTCTTCTTCCTGCTTTTCCTTTTCTGTTTACCTTCCATTTTTACATGGCAAAATTAAATTAAAATAAATAAAAAACATGGGATCAAATTCAAAAATTCCATCAACATATCAAGAAATGCAGAACAAATTGATCTAGGAGGAGGAAACCTACCTCTCAGAATGGAATCTAGCATTGAATGCATATCAACCGTTGATAGCATGATGGATGAAGATGAGATCTCTCACCCCCGTTCATTTTCTTCTATGTTTCCTTCTCCAAAGCCCATTATTCACAACATTAATCCAACCACCACAAGTGTTCATGAACTTCTTGAATGCCCTGTTTGCACCAATTCTATGTACCCTCCTATCCATCAGGTTTGTTTTCTTGCTGATTCATTGGTTTTTTGTTTGTTCATTGTTTTCAAGATTCAATTTGTTTCTCTTTATTATATCAATTTCTATTGTGGCAATGTTGTTTTTGTAGAAACTAATGTCAAACCCAATTGATTATATATGAAAAATATAAGGTTTTTATTGCAAGATTGAATCTTTTTTGTTTTTATGTTGTAATATGCTCATAGGTGCTGCATTATGTAAATCCCATCTTAATTTGGTAATAATTTACTCAATTGTTGATCACTCTAATGTTATTAAAAATACTGCAGTGCCACAATGGGCATACCCTCTGCTCCACCTGTAAAATTAGGGTTCAAAACAGATGCCCAACTTGCAGACAAGAACTCGGAGACATACGATGTTTGGCGCTAGAAAAAGTGGCTGAATCTCTCGAACTTCCTTGCAAGTTCATTACAGTTGGATGCCCTGAAATATTCCCTTATTACAGCAAGTTGAAGCACGAGGCACTTTGCAATTTCAGGCCTTACAACTGCCCGTATGCTGGATCGGAGTGCTCGATTATTGGGGATATTCCATACCTAGTTTCTCACCTCAGAGATGACCACAAAGTCGATATGCATTCTGGTTGCACGTTTAATCATCGCTACGTTAAATCCAACCCTCGAGATGTAGAGAACGCCACCTGGATGCTAACTGTGAGTATTTATTTGTTTATTCCTCTCTAATATTATTTGTTTATTTCTCTCTAATATGTAGTATCCATTTACCTCGAATTAGCTTTTTAAATCATATTGGGAAGCATGATTAGTGAGCTTTAAGGTGTGCATACAAATGCCGGGTTTTTGCCTCCTTTTCTTATAGGGATTTAGTGGCTATTTCAGATAATAGTGCATTGCATCTGTTAAGGTCTCGTTTGGTTGCTACTATGGGATTAGTACAATCTTACGAGTGCCCAATTGTATAGTTGGGAGGGCATGAAAATTTATTCTTCTATATAAACATCAAATAAGGTCCAATTATTTCATTAATATATCTGCCCAATCATACACAATGCCTAAAGTTACGAATGTACAATGACGGTTCTTGTTGTCTGTATGCAAATGTTGAATTTTTTCATCTGTTACAACTAGGGGCGAAAATTAAACGAATCGGATCGAAATTAGGAAACATTCCAATAATTTTTGGAATTGAAAAACTAATTCCAATTCCGTTCCGATTTTTTTTTGGATAAATCAAAAAACGGAATGTTGTAAATTTGAAAGTAAGAACTTGTTCCAAAATAAAAAATTCTCGAATCATAATCGGCAGAATTCGATAATACCGTTCCAATTTCCAACCGTAGTTACAACTTGTAATCTGAAATGTGGATTCAAATTTGATATACATGTAAATCTTGTGGACAGGTGTTCCATTGTTTTGGACAGTATTTTTGTCTACATTTCGAAGCATTCCAACTAGGAATGGCCCCAGTGTACATGGCATTTCTGCGATTCATGGGAGACGAAGCAGATGCTCGGAACTACAGCTACAGTTTGGAAGTGGGTGGAAATGGAAGGAAACTAACATGGGAGGGGACCCCACGAAGCGTTAGAGACGGTCACAGAAAGGTTCGTGACAGTCACGATGGACTCA